GCTGATTATTTTAGGTTTTAATATCAGGAGTGGATGCTGGAATCTGCAGACTAACCAGTCCTTGGCTCTGAGATTCTCTGATGACTGCATTTGCTTGATAGGACACCCATAACAAAATGCCACACACCAGGTGATTTTAACACCTCTGTTGTCTTGTGATTCTAGCGATCAGAAGGCCAAAGTCAAGGTGTGGGCAGGGCTATTCCTCGGAGGACTGTGGAGGAAGCTCCCCTTGGACAGTAGATGGCTGTGTTCTGTCTTCATGTCCAAATATCTCCCACTTTCTTCCTTCCTTTTCTTTATTTTGAGGAGGGATGGTATATGTTCTATGTGTGTTTGTGTGTGTGTGCATGTGTACCCATGAGCACACACATGCGTGTGCTTGCACACATGCACACACATGGGTGTGCATGTGCTTGTGTGACTGCATGGAGGCCAGAGGAGGGAACTGGCTAGCACTGGGCTTTGTTCCCTCGAGGCAGGATCTCTCTATGAGCCTGGAGCACACAGTTTTGTTTTGTTTTTCCCACTAGATTGGCAGCCGCCAGGACCCAGCAGTCCTCTTGTCTCTGCCTCCCTCGCTGCTGGGGTTTCAGGCATGCATAGGTGTAGGGGGAAACTTAGCAAAAGGAGAATTCACGTGTGCCTGGAGCCGGCGGTGGTTGGGCCGAGGAGCAGCCGCTTTCAGGGCGCCTGGATCTGGGTTCCGGAACTCCCGACACCAAATGATGCTGCAACGATAAACGGCACACCTGTTGAGGGTATAGGTAACTGTTCATTGTAGAAATTACTCACAAGAGAAAACGGGCAACCCAGATGAGTCCATTAGTTTTCCGCCACCGAACTGGAAGCTGAAAGAGAGTGAGTGCTCTGCTGTTCAGTCTTTTATTCCTTCCTCCGTACACGCCCAAAAGTGGACCTGGCTAGTGGCATAGTTCCGCCTCCCTGTCTCTAGTCATGCCCAAAGTGGGTGTGGTTAGCGGTGCAGTTCCGCCCTTTAGAGCGCCATGTGGCTAAAGGCAATGGCGGAGTCCTAAGTTTCCTCTACACATAGGACCATGTCTGACTTGTTTACTGGGTTCTTAACCCTGGTCCTCATGCTTTCCCAGCAAGCACTCTTAACTGCCATACCATATCTCCAGGCCTCTCGAGCACTTTTATCATTCCAAACGGAAACTGTAACCCCAGTAAGCAACAGCTTCCTAAATCTCACTTCTCAGTGCCTATCAATCATTTTACCTCCACCCACTCTAGGAAGGTCATATAAGTAGAAAGTTACAGTATTTACCCTTTGGGACCGACTTAGTCACTCAACATAATCTACATGGTAGCAGGTGTCAGAATTCCTCACCTTTTAAAGTCGAAATCATATTCCATCCCATGGATACCCCACATTTAGTTTATCCAGTCCATCCCCGGTGCACATGGGTTATCCCTGCTTTCTGGCTGCTGTACCTAATGCAGGCATGAATGTGGACAGGCAAAAATCTCAACACATGCCTGCTTTCAATTCTTTTAAAAATTATTCTCAGAAGTGAACTTCCTTCCTTCCTTCCCCCTCCCTCCCTGCCTCCCTCTCTCTGTCTCTGTCTCTGTGTCTCTGTCTCTGTCTCTGTCTCTGTCTCTGTCTCTCTCTCTCTCTCTGACTCTGACTGACTGGGTATGGCCATAGGTGGTTTGGACAGCTCTGTGTTCTCTGTGCTTCTTTTCTTCCCAGCCCTAAGTGTGGTGCCTGGCACTGGGCAGATATTTTTGGAGACTGTTGAATGAAACAATAGGCATGCAAGGCCTCACATTTCTGAGTGATTTTTTTCTTATTGTTTCTCTATGAATAAAGGCTACAAAACACCCATTTTCCTTTCTCTCTCTCTCCCTTTTTTCACACATTGCACAAATGCTGCTATTAATCCCTCTGAGCACTATGGTTACATTGTCCTAGAGAGTCTACCTCATTAATTACGATGACAACATTTTCTGGGCTCAGGTCACAAATTATCTCAAAGTGATGTGGAATAATAGTCTGTTCAAATGTTTGGGCACACGCAAAAAAAAATTCCACACATTATCAATTAAGTCTTTAGCGATTTTTCTTGAACACTTTAGATCTTTTTAAAATGCTGTCTAGATTATACCTAATTAACTTAAAATGCTTATACTTCTAATCTAAATTTTTCTTTTTTCTGTTTTTGACCCAGATTTTATGATTGTGGGAACCCACGGCTGTTTAATCCCCAAGGTTAAGAGTGTAATGATGTTCTTTATTGCCTCAAAAGCGAGTGGACTGAGTTCTGAATGAACTCTTATTTGTAATTTCACTCCAGTGGAAATAATATCCTGTAAGAAAATCTGCTGTTCTGCAGCTGAACGGGACAGGCTTCTCGTTCCCCGCTCCAGTTTTGTTTTGTTTTGTTTTTGTTTTGTTTTGTTTTTCTGTCCTCAGATAGCCACAAAGCACCTCAAACCAGGAACATGAATACAGCTAAGAAAATCATCTTTAATAATTTGCCTGTGATTGTCATTTTCTCTCCATGTTTACACACTGCACCATCGCTTGTTTCCTTTCTGTGTGTGAGCATATGACATGTGCACTCCTCGTATGTTCAGGCATGCACTTGCCGTGTTGTAGTGTAGAGGTCAGAGGAGACCCCACAACGCAGCCGTCAGTTCCTGCTCGTACCTTGAGGCGGTCTCTTTTTTTGCTGTTGTCCTCCATTGCACGTGTCATGCTAGCTGGCCCGCGAACTGCCACATTTTCCCCGGGTCTGTCTCCCGCCTGACTGTAGGAACGCTGGGATCACCAGTGGGAGCTCCCGCGTCTTGTTTTCTCTGCGAATTCCAACTCAGGTCCTCACCCTTGTGTGGCAAGTGCTTTACCCACTGAGCCACCCTCCCAGCCCCACGTGTGTCCTGAAGTGTCACAGCAAGGCAGAGAGGAGAAAGTATAAAGGCTGGGAGGGGAGCGTGGGAAATGAGGAGGAGGAGAGCTAAGAGCGAGTGTAATGCTGGTATTACATCTCACCCTTCTGAAACGCCTTCCCGGTGGTACCTGGCTCTTACAGATGCGGAGAACAGGGCAATGAGGACTCTGGACACGTTTGCCAACCCCTTTGGTCTCATTTCCTTCCCCCGCCGAACTCTGGGACATGCATCTCCGCTGCCTTTACCTGTGCTAGCCCAGGGATCCACCTTCCAGCCTATGTTGCCTCTCCACAATGCCTCTCTGGTCACCTGGACCCTCTGCCACCACGCACATGTTTTTTCCTCCAGCCTGGTACTCCTAGATGTGCTCTACAGAGAACCGAGGACAGCGCCAGTCTCCCGGAAGCTCTGTGCTGGCAGCTTCCTGAGGCCACTTCCTCCTCTGAGCTACCGGTTTCCTGGCTGCTCTTTAGGCATTCCCTTCTCTCTGCCTCGCCACAGCTCTGCCCCCAGGACCTCTCCAATTTTCTACTTTGTTCTTTAGAAGGTTCACTGACCATCTCTTTGTCAGGGTCTCCCAGTTTTGCCACTGCAACTGCCGCAGAGTCCTAATGGAGTTCTGCTGTCCTCACTTGACCTCCTCCATCCTTCCGGCCCCGTGTGTCCTGTAGTAGTTTCCCTACAGCCCATCCTCCATCCTTCCTCTCTCTGACCAGCTGGGCCCTCAGCACCCCGCTTCTGGAGCACTGGAGACACACTGAGCCGTTTTACAACAGGACCTGACTCTGGTTGTCCGGGTCATGCCCCACCTCAGCTCTCCAACCCATGTATCTGCCTGAGGACTTCCTTTTGACCCTTGTCTCCAGAGTCTGGCTTACTCTTGCCCTCCAGGCTTCTTGTCTGGACCCTTTCTCTTAGCTCAGTGTCATTCCCCACATGCCTGCAGCATGAGCCCCTCACTCATGTTGGGCCAAACCCCCAGGGCTGACAGCAGTCCCTGCTTTCTCTACCATAGCCCACATCCCTGTCCCTCCACCCACCTCATACGGATGAATCCGCCCACCACATAATTCCCACTAAATAACCTTGTCTTCTTAATCTCCTTAGCTAGGACAGGGAACAGGTGTGGCCGTCTCTCTTCTGCTTACGTCTTTGAGTACCAGAGTGGCAGATCCCATTCCTAGCCTTGCCGTCTAATGAAGTGTGTGTGTATGGGTCACTTCCAGAAAGATCGACTTCCGGGCTCCGGGAAAGTTTGGAGAGCTTTCTGACTTTCTATCCCGCCATTATTAGGTGACTACTGTGTTCAAGGGATGGAAGTTAATACCTTAAAACTTCAGAATTTTGCCTCTAATGGACAGAGGCCACCCTTGGGTCAAGCCTTCCTTTCTCTCTTGTCACGTGGCAGCATCTTTAGTTCTAACCTATGCACGGGCTGGGTATGTTACTGACTCTTGGATCTGTGTATTTTACTTATGCTTTTCTTTTGATGAGTCTCTGGTCTCTTCCTAACGGTGAGCCCAGATCTGTGGATTTGTAACAAACTGGTCTGTAAAGTGACAACATCACCCGGGCTGGTCACTGAAGAAGGAGGACGAGGTGGCCTCTCTGCGTCGTTGGTCCCCTGGGGCGCAAGGATTCTCATGGAGTTACAAACCCTGAGCATGAGAACATGAAGACAGGGACTCCCCTTACAGGTCGTGGTCCGGAGGGAGGCGCTCTGCCCTGGCAAGCGCCACCATGGTTATCCATGTTTGGTGCGGCAGCTGCCAGGGGAGCAGGGACAGCGCGTGGAGGACAGAGAGTGGGCAAGAGGGTCCCCGGGGTCCCGGGACAGGCTGCAAGCGTCCCTCACTTTCTTGCCTTCTTGCCTTTTGTTCCCGCGCCTCCTCAGAGCTTTCTAGCTGAGGATTCCAGGAGCAAGGACCAGGGAGGGGACCAGGGCGGGGACCCAGGCGGGACCCAGGCGCGCCCAGCTCTGCGCCCCGCCCGCCACGTCTCCTCCCGGCCACGCCACCGAGGCCGCCCCCTCGCGGGCAGCGCGGGCGCCGGGTGCTCGTTCTCGGCGGCGGCGGGCCCGGGTTGCCATGGTGACCGGCGGCAGCCACAGCAGGGCCGGCCCCAGCGCCAGCGCCGCGGAGGCTCGGCAGGGCGCAGTGTGTGGGTGAGCGCGGCCGGAGCGGGCGCGGCCCGGCCTCAGCATGGAGGACGGCTTCTCCAGCTATAGCAGCCTTTACGACACGTCCTCGCTGCTGCAATTCTGCAACGGTAAGCGCGGGCGGGCGGGCGGACAAGGGTACGGGAACCGAGCGGCGAGGGCCAGGCCGGGCCGCGGGCGAGGCCGCGCCAAGTAGCCCCGGTTCCCGCCGGCGCATTGTGCTGGGGCCGCCGGGGCCGCGCCTCTCCCCGGCTCCCGGGCTCCCCGATGCCCACCCTGGGGCTCCGGGTGATGCGGATCCATGGCTCCCGGAGCCCCAGAGGATGCCGCGGCGGAAAGCGCGCGCGGGAGCCCGGGAGCTGGGAGGCCCGGGCAACCTCGGCATTCGGGAGACGTGTTGCTCTTTCGCTTCCAAACTCACATCTGTTTGGACAGTGTTAGATGCAGAACTCAGCAAACAAATCACTGCCGGAACAAAACCCTTTTAGGATGCACGCAGGGCTGGTTGCAGATGGACCTCCAGAATCCTTTTGGGGCCACTTGGGTGGAATCATCACGGTTTACTGTGATCTAGAGCCAGAGTGGACCTGGCTTAAAAGTATTAGACCGTTTTTATTTAATTTATTTTGTTTGTGGGATCATAGATTTTTTTTTCGTGTGTGTGGTAGTTTTTACAGAAAGGAAACATACATCGCTACCAATATGGCATCTTAAAAATATACAGAATCATACATGCTGTGAAGATTTTGTAGTCTCTCCAGAGGGCTTGGGAAAGATTTTCACCATGCTCTGCATATTTTATCAGAACATGATGTGCGATAATTCATGCACAAAAGTTTACCACACATCTTTTTTTTTTTGCATGTTGGGATCTATTGCTTTATCAAAAGTTTGTTAAAGGGGAAAATATGAATTTTAAAGAATTTGCTCAAGCTCATCAGGATAAATTTTGAATTCTAGACTCTTGAACAAGAGGAATTTTACATTGCAGTTGTAATTGTCATCTACAGAGGCATTTCTAGTTAGTAACACCTGTTTGCAAACCGGAGCTGCCTCTGAGCGGTGAAGAGGAGCGAGTGGATTGATTGATTCAATATACTGATTTTCTTTGTCTGGTGCAATTTGTCCTTTTTTTTTAAATGACTGTGTATACTTTTTTCCAGCTTATAATTTTCACGTGTGGCAGATAGACTGCATTTAGTATTCTGCTGGTCACTGGGGTACTTTATAGTATAGACTCATGGGAATGTTTTTGCTCCCGGGTAGGTTGAATAGATTCTTCCATTAGCAAATTGAATAGTTTTCTTAATTGGCTGATAATCAATCATGTTTGAACAGCTACTTCTGCTGTCCAAGGTAGGTGCAACCTTTAGCGTGGTTCTGGTAGAATTCTTATGTTGGTTGTGAAAGGCATGAGGCTTAAAAGAAGAAATGACACCCAGGCACAGAGCCTTTTCAGGCCCCACATGTGGGCATATGATTGATGGTTTGACTATGAATATGAAAATGGGGGCCAGGAGTCATCCGGGGAGCCCTTTGGGGGCGGGCACCCAGGTTCTTTAGTAGTTCTGCCGTGAAGCTGGGTTATTTGTGAGTGTTTTGGTCTCCTGCCTTCTGTTGACTGCTGGCTTAGAGGTATTGGTGTGGTATTTGGCCGGTAATGAGGCTGGAAGGTGGGAAGCAGCTCTTGCTTGCTGGAGGGATGACAACTTGAAGAAAATTATCTTTAGAATAAAACAATACTGGCTGCACAAGCAACCGTTGGGTTTACTTCCTTTAAAGAGTTAGCACTGTGGTGATTAATTTCTCTTTGGGTTACTGTAACAGCAAAAGTTTAAAACCAAAGAGACTTCAGAGGACAGAAACGGCTGCTACCCAGGGATGTCTTAGGCACCAGATGTGTTGATGTGAAATTATTCAGTAAGTTTCTCTTAACTGAAAATATAAATGAACCCCATTCAGTTAATTACTGCAATGATTCAGTTGAAGCAGCAGGTCACAGAGATGTCTCAAGAAGACCGAAATGAAACATTCGAGTGTTTCATTAGCGGTGCTGGGAAGAGAGCCCTCTTGCCTTCTAAAGTGGAGATTTACATCTCAATGGCTGGATCCCAGCAGGATAATATGTGAACTCACACATTTTCATATGTCCGGCTCGCCTCGCGCTTTTTAAAATGACAGGGACTCAAATGCACTGTGGCTGTGCTTACTGGTTCAGCCTCTGCGGACTGGCTGGTCACATGACAAGATACGGGCGGAAGGTGACACATCGTTGAGAGAAACTCCCCTTAGCCATGAGATTTCTAATCTTCCCTCTCAACTTTGTTCCTGTTCTCCCCTCTGCGTGGTTCCTAACGGCTGCTCGATTGGAAGTTCTGAAGTGGCCAGGCCCCTGGAAAGGCTGTGCACACACATTGTTTAGGAGCCCACTCTCTCATTTAAGTTGAAATTCTGTACATTTTTTTCCCCTTGTAAGTATTTGGAATTTGCAAAGTGAACTGAAAAATCACAAATGTGTGTGGGGGTGGTGGTGGTACATGAGTGTGTGTGTGCTCATATGGGTGCAGGTGCGTGCATCTGTGTGTGTGTGTGTGTGTGTGTGTGCGCGCGCGCTTGCGCGCGCACGCGTGCAGGGCAGAGGTCTGGGGTCTCTGTCACTCTTGACATCAGTTTTGAGACAGGGGTTGTCTTACTGAATCTGGGGCTTGCTGTTTTGGATAGGCTGGCTGGCTGGCTAGCCATCCCCCCTTCTCTCTGGCTCTGGGGTTACGTATGTGTGTCTTTGTATCTGACTTTTATTGTAGGCGCTGGGGAGTCAAAATCCGGACCCTCATGCTCATGTGGTTCACCCACTGAGCCGTCTCCCCAGTCCCACAAACTTGTTTTTAATGCTGTAATGAGAACAGGGTTTTGAAAAGTGGACCATAATTACCTTTTTTTGAAGAAGTTTTTATTCTGTTTTATTTGTTTTTAATTTTCATCATGTTTATTTATTTAGTGCGTGTGTGTGCGTGTGCGCGCGAGCATGCATGCGTTCACACATGTGCAGTCCAAAGGTCAGCTTGAGGGGGTAGCTTCTCTCCTCCCACTATGTGGGTACCAAGAATGAAACTCAGGTCATGTGTGTTGGAGACAACCACCTTTACCCGCTCAGCCATCTTCCAACTCTTACTTTATTTTTTATTTGTTAATTTTCGTGGTGCTGGGAAGCAAACATTTTCGTCACACTTGTAATACCCCGTTTGCCCTAACCCCTGGCCACCATTAATTTACTTCCTGTCTGTATGGATTCTGGCCATTAAAAGCATACATTTTAAAAAAGATGTGTTTTAACTATGCATATTTGCGTTTCTGTGTGAGGGTATGTGCACGTGGCTGCAGGTGCCTATGGAAGCCAGAGGTGTCAGATCCCTCACAGCTGGACTTTTGCAGAAGTTTCCGAGCTGTCTGATATGGGTACTGGGGATCAAACCTAGGCCCTCTGTGAGTATGTGCTCTTGACTGCTAAGCCATCTCTCCAGCCCCACAAAGATATTTTTGTCATATATTAATTACGCAAAAAAATGGACTTCATTAAGACTAATTTCTTTGCGTGTTATGGATAATGCTATATCAGCGTACATACTTCTGTGTGAACATACATCCTTATTTTGGGGGACAGATAGTAAGGAATGGAACTTCTGGGTCATGTGGTGACGCTGGGTTTACTATTTTGGTGAGCCTGTTTGAACTTCCTGAAATCTAAATGATAAAACAGTAAGATCCAAGAGAAAATGAAATGGGAAGGAAACAGAATGGCCCTGCTTTGTACCCATAGGTCCTTAGATATTCCCGTCTGTCTGCTCACCCAGTGAGTCAGCAGCCACCCCTGCTCGGCAGGCAATCTCATTTCCTTGGTTGTTTTTTCTTAGGCCTTTGTGAGTTGATTCTCCAAAGTCAAATCGACCCAGAAACCCAAAGGCGAATGGGACAGATGTGGCTGCTCTGGATGAAATAGGGAAGCCCTTTCCCTGCCTCTGCCCCTGCTGTGCTGGAGCAGGGCACTGGCTGCTGCCCACTGCTCCCCATTTAACCCTTTCCTGCTTTAGACGACTGAGACCAAGCCCTGTGTGGAGCCAGTTTGCTCCCCAGGTCCATAACAATCAAATCTAATCTCCTGTCTAAAACAATCAGGTTGAGTGGGTTGTCCTGCGTCTGAAGCCCATGAGAGCTCTTCTAGGCTCTTCTTTTGGCTAAACATTGACATCAAACGTTTGTGGGGCAGTGGCAGTGCATGCCTTGAGTCCCAGTACTCAGGAGGCAGAGGCAGGTGGGTCTCTGTGAGTTAAAGGCCAGCCTGGTCTACATGGTGAGCTCCAGGACAGCGTTGAGAGATCTTTTCTGAAAACCAACAAACACCAAAACAAGCAAGCAAGCAAATAGACAGACAGACAGACAGACAGACAGACAGACAGACAGAGTGCTCATTTCCTGCTATTCTAGACCCTTAATTTTCCTGATCTGGGTTTCCTATACTATTCTTTTTGTCTGTGTTCCTTTCTTGTTACAGGTGAGTGTTAATCTCTAGACACCATGCTTCTGTTTTTTTTTCAGTGTGTGTGTGTGTGTGTGTGTGTGTGTGTGTGTGTGTGTGTGTAACAGCATTTCCTGGTATAGCCCAATCTGTAAAGATTTCTGAACCCCCTGCCCCCACATCCCGGGTGGTGGGATGCCAGGGGCCAGCCAGGGCCATCATGGTCAGCCCTGACATGTGTATTTTAATTACATTTTTATTATTTGCGTGGGGCAGTAGGGAACACCGTGTTGTCCATACAGAAGTCAGAGGCCACCTTTTGGGAGTCAGTTCTCCCCTTCCACCATGTGGGTCCTGAGGATGGAAACTGGGTCATCAGGCTTGGCAGCAGGTGCTGAGCCAGCTTGCCAGACCCCTGGCGTGGTTTTTATGTGGAGTTAACAGTCTAATCCAAGATGATATTGACTCCTTCTCTTGTCATGTTATATAATTGCCTCTAATTTTACCTAAAAGTCTTGTGTTTCACACGATTATGGAAAGTTCTTGCCTTTATTTCCCTACTGTTAGTCACCTTTTTTGAGGAATTTCCTTCTATAG